ATGCGACGACCAGCGGGTTTAAAAAGCCGAAGACCGGGAATGAAGACAGAATCTCCTGAGGAAGTCGGATCGAAGAAATGCGTTGAGCGAGCCCCAAGAAGAGGACCCAGAAAATGTGGTATTAAAGCAGCCACTTTGCATTTTCCATTGCACTTTATGCTGGCACTTTACCTTGAAAGAACTTGCACTATTGTGTGGCCTAGTAAAGAGTGCTGGCTGCTAACCAGTGTGAACTGAGCCTTCTAAGGCGATTACTGCGATTGTTGCACAGTAAATATGTGTTATTGCTCAATATTGTTTTATTTGTTTATTTTTAGTGTTCCATAAATTGTCCACTGTTATCTTTAATAGTTTTTCTCTATTTTATCCATTTTCTACATCTACAAGAATTAACTCTTCAATATTGGGAACTATATAGTGATTGTGGCGCCCTGTTATGGTTCATAGATCTTTTCTATTTTCATTAGTTTACAGGCATTATCAACTGACACATTGCAGATTAATATGTACCACTAGGCATAAAAATAGACTGTGAAAGTGCTGTCAACATATAGCATGTTATATTATGGTGATAACTAGCTTAGCCTATGCCTGATGCATGATGCTTAGTGATCCAGAGAAAGAGATCCCAGGAGTCCCGCTGAATTGTGCTCCTGCAGCCCTTAGCTGAGTTACAGACCAGTATACCCATCTTCCAAGTCTCTATTCGAGTCGCAGGTTGGGCTTCATCTCATGGCCTGGTGCCAGGCTTCTTTATGGCATGGTGAGTAGAAGCCAGTGGGTGTGAGCGGTGAGGGAGTCAGAGAGTGACCCATGATGGATCGTGGCCCAGGTAGGTGATGGCTCTCAGCAGGACCGTACCGCCACTTCCCCACTGTCCGCACTGCGTCAGGGTCTCATCCAGCGGATCTCAGCTTGGCTTTGCTTTGCCTTGAATCTCGTTGGAGCGAAACTACAATGGTAGGCCTCTCCACTCATTGTTGGATATGGTTAGCTGAAGTAGTAGCGTAGGAGATGCATGCTAATCATATCCAGAAATCCTGGCACAGCTCACCAAATCTTTCCTTGAATATCTGCACCCTGTCCTGGATCCCTGGGTCCGCTTGATGTAATTGATGTCCCAGCACGGCAGCCATCTTGAATTCACAACGAGTTTTCAGGAACACTGAGCTCAAGTTGTCCACTGCACAGTAGGGAGTATACCCAGCGGGGACCAGGATAACCCTACCAGTCCAAAGGTGGGTGACGGGGCTTTGGTAGGTTCCTTGTGGAATGGGCAACTCAGGGCAGGAGATTGGCCGCCTCTCCCAGCTGTCAGATCGGCAATCTTGCTAGGCCGCAGAGCCAAATGGGAGATTACGTGTCCAGGAATGCTAATTTCTGGGCTGTCAGTGTCTCCCTTTAGTCAGGATGTTTGCTGTGCGTAATTCTGAGCCTTTTGCTATCTCAAAAATGCAGTGTTAGCTAGCTCAGGCAGGAGCTTCTGGAAAACACATCTTGCCAGCATGAGATTGCCAGCCCCTCCCACTCCCCCAGGTTCAGTAATTTTAAGACAAATATATTATATGAGAGCACTGTTGATGTCTACAAAATGTCCTCCCAAACTCTAAAGATAAAATTTTAACTGCCAACACAAGCAAACATCAGAGTTTGATTTACAATATTGACAAAGCTGTCATATCCAGCATACATGAGTTGGAGGGCAGCTCTCTCAATCTCATTGTGAGGGACAAACATTTTAAAATATAAATATCCTGGTAAAACTTAATCTACATTAGAAGCAACTGTTACAACCACAGAAATAAAATGTTAACAATACAAATATATATATATATATATATATATATATATATAATCAATAAAGGAGCACTCCAAGGAATTTTCAAACTTATTTATAATCCGGTGTTGAGAAAATCAACCATCAACGTTTCGACCCAATAGGGTCTTTATCAAGATAACAACAACCTCAAATTAATGTGTATATATACAGAAATACAAATAAATCTAACTTACCCCACCTGAGAAGTGAAGCCCGCTCACCAAGTGCCGCCGAGTAGTGCGCATGCGTAGTGACGTCACCGGAACGGTGCGTCATGACGTGTGTGCGTACGTGCGTGATAACGTAATCATGTGTTCCCATGGACCGCAAGCGTGTCCATGGAAACCTGAATCAATAAAAACAAAGCAAAAGGAAAGATAGGAAACTACAGACCGGAAAAGTCATCAATGTTAATGAGCCATAATTGAAATAAGTAGATGAATAAATACACAGAGTGTAACTAGGAGAAAAAAAGAGTGAAAAGAAGCATAAAAGAATAATAAAAAATAGGAATGTGTAGGAAAAAAGTGAAAAAAGTGAGGAAACACAAATAAGAGCCTCTAAAAAGAGACAAAAATGTGATGTGTGAGAAAGGAAGGTGAAGAGTATGAATAGACATATACATCTGAAAATAGTGAAAAAAGAAGAATAGAAAAAAGATAAGACCTAGTACATCTCAGAGGCCTAAACACATGTGATCTGATCATATGAGATGCATATATAATAGAGACAAATACCGGTCATACTTCCAAGTGTACATCAGATACAGCATAATATTACTAATAGAGATGCCTATGTATGATAAGATCCTGCACATACAACAGTAAATAAACTTCACAAATTGCATTATAATAATAAAGAAAAATGCAGAGGCCGAAAAATGTGTATATATATATATATATATATATATATATATATAAGGCCCAAAAATAAAAATAAAAATAAATATAAAAGATAGACTAACGTCTCTCCAAAAATGAGTTAAATGAAACATATTCGTTCAATCCTTTGGGATGCAACGTGTCCAATTGTTTGATCCAGAAGGTCTCCCTTTGAAGTAATAACTTTGACCGGTCACCTCCCCTGATTGGAATAGGTATGACATCTATAGCAATAAATTTAAGCATGGGTAATCTGTGGTTAAATGCGAGGAAGTGTTTAGCCACAGGTTTGTCCGTTTTCCCATCTCTAAAAGCCGTCATAATAGCTGATCGATGCCCTCTGATCCTATCACGGAGGGTTAAGTCCGTCTTACCCACATAAAAAAGACCACAGGGACAGGAGATTAGATAGACCACATGATCAGTTAGACAGGTGATATAGTGTCGAATCTTATATCTTTTGCCCGAATGTGGATGTACAAAGGAAGAGCCAGTAAGCATATGACCACAAGTGACACATCCAGTACAACGAAAACAACCCATTTTGTTGGTTTTAGTTGGAGCCAATATTTCTCTAGGGAGGTCTGTTTTCATCAGAAAGTCTCTCAAATTTCTATTCCTAGTGTATGATATCCGAGGGGGATTGGAGAAGACCTTACTAAGGGTTTTATCAGTGGACAAAATCTCCCATCGTCTCCTAATATTCTTGGAGATATCCATACTTGCTGAATGAAACTTCATGGGAATAGTGATACGTGGTGAACTTAACCGTCTTGTCCCCTTTTCAAAAATTTCAAAGGCTCTAGTTAGAGTTTTATCCAGAATATATTTCGGGTAACCCCTCTCAAGAAAAGATTGACGCATAGCATTCAGTTGTGAATCCCGATTATTGATCTCCGAGTTATTTCTGAGTACCCTCAGAAATTGTGAGATAGGTAGAGAATTCTTGAGGGCTGAAGGATGAAAACTAGTGTAATGTAAAAGTGTGTTACGATCGGAGGGTTTCTTATACAAACTGTAGCAAATCCGATCCATGTATCTATATATCTCTACATCTAAAAATTGTATTCTGTCAAAACTCCAATTCAAGCTGAGTTGTATCGGGGATTCATCCGTATTAATGGCCTTAACCATGGAGTGTAATTCCTCCTCAGAGCCAGACCAAATAATGAAAATGTCATCCACAAATCTGTGGTAAGAAATAATGTGCGTATTGAATTTCTCCAGTATGCGTAAACGTTCAAACACGTACATGTAGCAATTGGCATATGATGGTGCTATAGCCGATCCCATGGCAGTCCCCCTGAGTTGGACATAAAAATTCTTCTCAAATCTAAAATAATTGTGATGTAACAGAAATCCCAAACACTCCATCAAGAATTCAATAGGAGGTCCATGGTAATTATCACACTCACAGAGCCAAGTGCGCATAGAATTCATACCTTCAATATGTGGAATGATAGTGAAAAGATTTTTAACATCAATAGTAGCAAAAATCACCGGATCATTAGGTAATCTAAGATCCTTGATCTTCATTAAAAAGTCTTGAGTATCCTTCAAACTGGTAGGTATATTTTCAATACATTCCTTACAATGGTGATCAACAAATTTGGCCATTGGTTCCAATACCCCTCCACAGGCAGACACAATCGGTCTGCCTGGAGGTTTAGCAGGGTCCTTGTGAATCTTAGGCAACGTATATAAAATGGGTATCCTCGGATGTGCATTGATCAAGAATGCTGCAGTGTATTCATCCAACCAACCAGATGTCAAACCTAATTCAACCAATTTCTGTAATTGCTGCAGAAAAGAAGTAGTAGGATCATATGCAATCAGTTGGTACGTATCTGTGTCCCCCAACTGGTTAAGTATTTCACATCTGTAATCAGTATAATTTTGAATCACAATAGCTCCTCCCTTATCAGCCGGACGAATTGTGATGGAAGTGTCATCTCTAAGATCTTGTAGGGCCATCTTTTCTCCAATAGTCAAATTACCCATCCTAGAATCTCCTTTAGATAGAATCCCATCAATATCATGTCGCATCAGCTGTCCAAAGGTCTTAATAGTAGGTTGTATAGTTTTAGGTTCCCATATATTTTTAAGTTTAAATGGATGCTGAATCTGTTGGACCCATGAATCCCTAGAAATGTTCAAGTTCAAAGTTCTGTCCAATTTGAATAATTCCACATCAAGCATAAATTTATCTGGTCCTGAAAAAGGAACAAACGTCAACCCCTTTGATAAGATGCTAATATGATCCGCATTGAGTTGCTTAGATGATAAATTAAATACTGGGTTCATTTCCTCTTTGGTGGTTTGGATCTGAGATTTATGGATCTTCCCCCTTTGTCCCCTCCTGATAGATCGGGGTCTACGTTTCCTCTTGAATGGATTGATGTTATAGGTGGGTCGTTGGAATGTTGGTCCCCCTCTAAAAAAGTATGTACGGGAACCTGCGAGGTGGACAATCTGTCCATCCTAATACCTTCAGATTCAGAAGCTGACTCGGCTGAGCTAGTGTCAATAGACATAAACTGTGGTTTCCTCACCCTGATTTTCTGACGTTGAAATTGGGGTCTACGTCTCTCACCACTCAGCCAATGGTAAACTTGATGATGGGTATAATCATAATTAACCCTTTCAAGCTTCTGTTTCTTAAATCTAATAAGATCATTCCTGTATCTCATAACTTCATCTTGTAGTTTAATCATCTGTTGAGCTGAAGTTGATGCCGTAATAAGAGATGAATTGGTAGATTCCAATTTGTTGATAGACTCTTTCACCATAACCAATTCATTTCTAACCTCTTCCACAGTAATCAACATCCAATCTAGGGCACATTTATTAGCTATACCAGTCCATTTACGACAAAATTCTGGATTGTGCCTGCCAATAGTGGGCGCATTGCGTACTCTGAAACCCCTTGGGATCCTCTTGGATCTGTAATAATCAGAAATAAAGGTACCATGGAGATCCAAATCTACCTCTCTTCTTTTCAACTTAATCAGATCATTATAAACATCCCGAATAGAATCAATATGTTTCAAATCATCAGTACCTTTAGGCCACAAAATTTGTTCAGCCTCAACCTCTGAAATCTGTAACACCTCAGCTGTATCCAATAGTGCACCAGCCCTGGATAAAAAATCTTCTTCCATTTTGCAAGAAACTTGATAAGAAGGAGTTCAATACACGAAGTGAAGAAGCCAAATATAATATACAGTAGGTGGTGCCCAGAGAGTGTGTGGCTAGCACACTGTATTAAATAAGAAAGCAAACTCTGGCACTCTTCCTTTAAATCCAAAATAATTGCAGAAATTACCCGGGTGCTTCCAAGCCTCGGTATGTATAATCAATAAAGGAGCACTCCAAGGAATTTTCAAACTTATTTATAATCCGGTGTTGAGAAAATCAACCATCAACGTTTCGACCCAATAGGGTCTTTATCAAGATAACAACAACCTCAAATTAATGTGTATATATACAGAAATACAAATAAATCTAACTTACCCCACCTGAGAAGTGAAGCCCGCTCACCAAGTGCCGCCGAGTAGTGCGCATGCGTAGTGACGTCACCAGAACGGTGCGTCATGACGTGTGTGCGTACGTGCGTGATAACGTGATCATGTGATCCCATGGACCGCAAGCGTGTCCATGGAAACCTGAATCAATAAAAACAAAGCAAAAGGAAAGATAGGAAACTACAGACCGGAAAAGTCATCAGTGTTAATGAGCCATAATTGAAATAAGTAGATGAATAAATACACAGAGTGTAACTAGGAGAAAAAAAGAGTGAAAAGAAGCATAAAAGAATAATAAAAAATAGGAATGTGTAGGAAAAAAGTGAAAAAAGTGAGGAAACACAAATAAGAGCCTCTAAAAAGAGACAAAAATGTGATGTGTGAGAAAGGAAGGTGAAGAGTATGAATAGACATATACATCTGAAAATAGTGAAAAAAGAAGAATAGAAAAAAGATAAGACCTAGTACATCTCAGAGGCCTAAACACATGTGACCCTTAGTAAGGTCTTCTCCAATCCCCCTCGGATATCATACACTAGGAATAGAAATTTGAGAGACTTTCTGATGAAAACAGACCTCCCTAGAGAAATATTGGCTCCAACTAAAACCAACAAAATGGGTTGTTTTCGTTGTACTGGATGTGTCACTTGTGGTCATATGCTTACTGGCTCTTCCTTTGTACATCCACATTCGGGCAAAAGATATAAGATTCGACACTATATCACCTGTCTAACTGATCATGTGGTCTATCTAATCTCCTGTCCCTGTGGTCTTTTTTATGTGGGTAAGACGGACTTAACCCTCCGTGATAGGATCAGAGGGCATCGATCAGCTATTATGACGGCTTTTAGAGATGGGAAAACGGACAAACCTGTGGCTAAACACTTCCTCGCATTTAACCACAGATTACCCATGCTTAAATTTATTGCTATAGATGTCATACCTATTCCAATCAGGGGAGGTGACCGGTCAAAGTTATTACTTCAAAGGGAGACCTTCTGGATCAAACAATTGGACACGTTGCATCCCAAAGGATTGAACGAATATGTTTCATTTAACTCATTTTTGGAGAGACGTTAGTCTATCTTTTATATTTATTTTTATTTTTCTTTTTGGGCCTTATATATATATATATATATATATATATATATATACACATTTTTCGGCCTCTGCATTTTTCTTTATTATTATAATGCAATTTGTGAAGTTTATTTACTGTTGTATGTGCAGGATCTTATCATACATAGGCATCTCTATTAGTAATATTATGCTGTATCTGATGTACACTTGGAAGTATGACCGGTATTTGTCTCTATTATATATGCATCTCATATGATCAGATCACATGTGTTTAGGCCTCTGAGATGTACTAGGTCTTATCTTTTTTCTATTCTTCTTTTTTCACTATTTTCAGATGTATATGTCTATTCATACTCTTCACCTTCCTTTCTCACACATCACATTTTTGTCTCTTTTTAGAGGCTCTTATTTGTGTTTCCTCACTTTTTTCACTTTTTTCCTACACATTCCTATTTTTTATTATTCTTTTATGCTTCTTTTCACTCTTTTTTTCTCCTAGTTACACTCTGTGTATTTATTCATCTACTTATTTCAATTATGGCTCATTAACATTGATGACTTTTCCGGTCTGTAGTTTCCTATCTTTCCTTTTGCTTTGTTTTTATTGATTCAGGTTTCCATGGACACGCTTGCGGTCCATGGGATCACATGATCACGTTATCACGCACGTACGCACACACGTCATGACGCACCGTTCTGGTGACGTCACTACGCATGCGCACTACTCGGCGGCACTTGGTGAGCGGGCTTCACTTCTCAGGTGGGGTAAGTTAGATTTATTTGTATTTCTGTATATATACACATTAATTTGAGGTTGTTGTTATCTTGATAAAGACCCTATTGGGTCGAAACGTTGATGGTTGATTTTCTCAACACCGGATTATAAATAAGTTTGAAAATTCCTTGGAGTGCTCCTTTATTGATTATACATACCGAGGCTTGGAAGCACCCGGGTAATTTCTGCAATTATTTTGGATTTAAAGGAAGAGTGCCAGAGTTTGCTTTCTTATATATATATATATATATATTTATATTTGTAAAGAAACTAAGAAATATGAAGTAAGCAAAATAAAACACTATGGTCTCTATTTTTTACTGTTGAATAAGCTTTTCAAATGATTTGCTATTTTTTAATAAACTTTTAATATGATTTATTATGATTGATTGATATTTTTTATATATTTTTTATATATGATTTTTTTTTATATTTTATGTTGAAAAATAAATTTAGAATATAAAAAAAAATATTAAATCATTCGGAAAGATTGTCCAACAATATTAAATCAATGCCTATATCAATATATCATAAAATGTTTTCAGAATATTAAATCATATTAAAAGTTCATTCAAAAATGTAAAATAATTTGAAAAGTTTATCCAACAATATTTAATTGAGATATATGTTATATATAATCAATAAAAAAACGAATATTTGTATTTTTGACAGCAACGTTACTTTAATTGTAGAGTATTTTTATGGCATTGTTGTGTTTACAGATTATTTACAGCAGGTTTCCATTAGCTGGGTTTTGATAATCTATAAATAAGTCTTAAAGCAAAGTACATTAGTATCTAGAACTACTGCACATTTTAATTTCTGATCATTAAAGTGGATGATTTAATTTTCCTACCAGTCCAGCAACCACTTTCCTCTGGGATATGGTTTACTAAAGGTCACTTTCTACTTTCTTTTTAAAAAGATGCTGACTAAAAAGCTTACTGTAATATCTGAGTTTCGTTCAACTTCACAGACCATAAACCATATTGGACAATACAAGATTTCAGAGATGTAGCATGGGAAAAATATTTAACTCCATGAACAGCGATAAAAAAAATAACCAAATGTTCTTAGGTTATTTAGGTTATTTTATAGACATTTTAAATTAGATCAATCGCTTTGTTGACTGCTGTGTGCAATTAGAACTAGCCATTAGAACCAGTTGGAAAAAAAACACATACAAGCAAAATAATACAACATTGATGCCTCGCATTTAGCTTTGGATAATGTACTTGCATTTTCTTTCTCACTTTTTCTAGGATAGTTAAGGATTATAGAGTGCTGTATTAATGACTGTTTAAAGGGACACTATAGTCACCTGAACAACTTCAGCTTAATGAGGTTGTTCAGGTGAGAACTATAGCTCCCTGCAGCCTTTCTCATGTAAACACTGTATTTTCTGAGAAAATACAGTGTTTACATTGAAAGCTAGCAACACCTACAGTTGCAGTCACTCAGAGTGAACCAGAGGGACTTCTGAGTTGATGGAGGCATAATATGCCTACATCCACTCAGATCAGCAGAGCACAGGGCAGCACTGTGCACAGCATCCTGTGATTCAGTATCTCCTCCCTCTGCATGCAGACACTGAACTTTCCTCATGCTGATTGGCCAGGGCTGTGTTTGAATCATGCTGGCTCTGCCCCTGATCTGCCTCTTTGTCAGTCTCAGCCAATCCTATGGGGAAGCATAGCCTGTGATTGGATCAGGCTACCACATGTCAGCAGACTGCTTGTTTTTCTGAGTCTAACAACATGGAGATTTACAGCTTCAGGCTTGAATACAGTAAGATTTTTACTATATTTATGGAGGCATGAGGGTGGTGTTAACACTATAGGGTCAGGAATACATGTTTGTGTTCCTGACCCTATAGTGATCCTTTAAGAACATGTATGTATTTTATGATATGCATTTATTATATTAATTTTCTTTTTTATATATTAAGGAATAGTAACCTTCTCATCATTATGTTCCTTCTCATTTACTTCTTCTGCTAGGTTGAGTTTATCGACCATCTTAACACCAATACTTGACAATTGATTTACGACTTTAAATAGACACTAAGCACTATTAATACCAATGTGGATGAGAGTGAGAGAAGAAGAAGATGGATGTTTATTAACTCTTAATTATATAAAGAATTCTCTATACCAGATGCTGAGCAGTTTTGAACTGGTCAGCTGTTGCATTTTCTCCAGGTCCTTTTTTTACCACTATTTCCTAATTGCTGTGGGTTCTTTCATTTAGAGTCTAAGCTCTATGAATATAATAACCATTTACTTAAGCTTCAATTTAGATGAACTCTGTCATACTGTTTCTCTTCTTAACTATGATCTCTTTGACTTTATCCATTCTTTATATACAGTCACATTAATATTAATACATTTGTTGAAATTATTATAGAATCAATATATGTATACAGTATCTCACAAAAGTGAGTATACCTCTCACATTTTTGTAATAATGTAACCGCATGTGGTTCCCTTATTTACCACTATAATGTCTTAAAGCATAGAACTTAGTAGGGCTAACCATACAGATATCTTAGCCATAATTTTATATAGTGTAAGAGATCCTCTATTTAACATATATAAATAATTGAGAATACAATATAAAATAAGGATTGTCTTGGAAGCAATCGTTTTGTCTTTTTGGATATTTATTATATAAAAATATAAAAATCCATTATAGCAGAGTTTATAAGATTAAATTACATGCTTGCAAATATCATTAATAGGTTAACATACCCTTCTGAACATGTCATCATGTCAGCCTCTCT